AAGTGACCACTGACTATGTAAACTAAGATATAAGAGGACTGAATGAAGTGGGGTATGAAAGGACATGTCAGACTGAGGACAGCGTGGCTTTAGCTCAGGAGGTAGAGCAGACCATATACTGATTGGATGGTTGGTGGTTTGATCCCTGGCTCCTCCTAGAGTCGTGCAAGTTAATAACCCTGAGTTGCTCTCTGATGCAGCTATCGGAGTGTGAATGTTACTTGGTAAGCAGTTAAAAGTCTTCAAAAAACAAGGTGAGTGTGACATGTTGTATTACGTGGTACCCTGGGAGAGTAGAAAAGTGCTCTTCTTGGTCAAATTGTTGATTAAAAAATAAATCATTTGAATATCAAAAGGTGTTTCAAACTGAAAGACTAAAAAAAAGGAGGAGATTGCCAAGATTTGTACAATACTTCTTTACAGAAATGAAAGCCTTACTTGTCATGACCATGTCGACATGAACCGTCTCACTCTGGAATCCCAATTCCCCCACAGTTGTCACAGAAATGTTGTAGGAAGTCCCAGAAGACAGGGAAGAGAAGTTCCAACTGGTGTTTGTGGTATTTATATTGTTGGATTGCTGCGATGACGTGTAAGTCAGCAGGTAGTAGAAATTAGCACCAGTCATCAGAGGCGCCTCTACCCATCGAGTTTCAATGGAACTGGTTGTTTTACTCAGGATATCAATCCTCCCAGGAGGGTTAGGGACTGGAGGAAGGGGGATGCAACATATTATCTTATGTAAGTGCTCACAGTTTTAATAATTTTGTTTTACAGTTTGTTAGTGTAGTGTCAAATTAAACTTTATCAGTAACAGCTCAATTCTCAAAACCTGCTGAAGTAAATAAAAACATACATACATATTAACATAAATGTGACTACACTCAAAATTGAAGAAATGTATTCTACTCACGAGTGGCGTTAGTAACAAGTTCAGATGATGCATTGAAGGGTCCACTTATTGTGGTTAACATGACGCTGTACGCCCGTCCAGCTGACAAGTTTTCAAACTGGTACGATGTATTCAAAGAGTCCAGGGATTGAATAGTTGTATTACGTATTAGCTGCAAACTGTAACGCGCCACATTTCCTTTAGGTTTCGTCCATGTCACTGTGATGGAACTATTCGAATGACCTGAGATAGTGGGCTTTACTGTCTCGGGCTCTGTTGATGTGATGAGAGAACAAAATATTAAAACGTGTCAACAATGACAGTCTGATAAATAAAACTTGAAATGGCAGCTGAGTCGTACTCGTGTACTGAGAAGTGCAGACGGTTTGTCCTTCAATGCCATTTGCTGCCACGACAGAAACACAGAAGGTACAGTTGGTCCCAGGGTCGAGGCCTGAGATCTGTATGGTTTCTTGTCCCAGG